AGCGCTCTACCACTTAAGCCACAGCGCCATTTCCAGGTTTTCTGCTTATTTGGTGCTGAGGAATCGAACTCAGGGCCTCATGCGTGGCAGATACTTTTAATCTGCCATCTTGCCTTCAAAAGTCATTTAAATGAGAAAGAATCCTGAAGTTTATGAAGGTTTCTATGTTGAGAGAGAAATTTTAAAGGTTCTAGAGCTGTAAGCATGATGGTGCACAGTTGTAATCTTAGCACTGGGAGCTGAGGCAGGAAGATTTCTCATTAATAACCATCTGGCTACATAGCAAGTTTGAGGCCAGCCTGGAATATGTATAGTGAGACCCTCATCTTGAAAAACAAAACACGAAACCAATCGAGGTGGAATTAGCATTTTTTATTTGCCTTTTTCTCAAAGAGTGCAGCTACAATCCCTGTATAAAATGCATGAATTAGGTATTTGAATGCTCTGAAAGACAAATGGTAGCAGATGGATTGGAGAAGGAAAGGTGAGCTCAAATTAGCAGTTAACTCGCATTGAGTCTCCTGAGCTACCTTCCTCCTTCCCCCCAATGTCAATCATTGTGGAATGACTTTTTTTTTTTTTGTCCTGGGATTTGAACTGGGGGTCTGGGCAGTGTTTCTGAGCTTCTTTTGCTCAAGGCTAGCACTCTACCACTTGTGCCCCAGCACCACTTCCAGCTTTTTTTTTTTGTGGCACTAAGGAATTGAACCCAGGGCTTCATGCATGATAGGCAAGCACTCTGTAGTAGTGACATTGTCTGTAGATGGGGGTGGATTTTTTTTTTTTTTTGTCGGTCATGGGGCCTGAACTCTGGACCTGGTCCTGTCCCTGAGCTCTTCAGCTCAAGGCGAGTGCTCTACCACTTGAGCCACAGAGCCACTTCCGGCTTTTTCTGCTTATGTGGTGCTGAGGAATTGCACCCAGAGGCTCGTGCATGCAAGGCAGGCACTCTACCACTGAGCCACCTTCCCAGCCCGAGAGTAGATTCTTGCATTTGTCCCAAGAGCATGTCTTTTTCGGTACAGGGGATGGACTCCAAGGTTCTGGGCATGCTAGGCAAACACACAGTACTTAGCACTGCGCTGCTTACCCGCTCCTGAAATTCTGGGTTTGAATGTGTAGAATTCCCCTAGACTTGTGCATGTACCCTCTATGTGGGATGAGTCAGAGTTAGAGGCACCTTTAGCAAACTTGGCATATGACTGCCTCCCCATCACTCTTGCCTAGTGCCCTTTACCTTCTGAGGCTGTAAGTGTGGCTTGATCCGGGCTTGGCTGCCCCTAGGCTTCATAGAGCTGTGGTATCCTCATTCTAATAGCGTTTTGCCTTTCACATTCAACTCTAATGCGGATTCCTAATAACAATAATCTCCTTTGTTTTTGCTCATCGTGGGGTCTTTTGCAAAGGGAAGGACAGGCTTGCTTATCATTTTTATGTAATAATCTTCCACTCTAGCCTCCAGGGTAACACTGTTCCATGCCCCTTTAAATTCAGGAAGCCTCAGCCGTAGATTTTGAGCTGAAGCAATCTGTAAGTGTGGGGCAATATAAGAAAAACAGGTTTTTGGTTCAGGTTGGGAAAATTTTGCTTCAGAATAGTTTTGCATTAAAATTGGAGCAGAGGTGGATAGCGTCTCCACTTGCTAGGTTCAGGTAGGAGGACTGTGTAAAGAATTAGAATTTAGATTTGTTTTCCAAGTGCTAAAATAGGAGCCATTTTGACGCGTGGCTCATGTGGTAAAGAGCCAGTCTTGAGTAAACAGCCAAGTGAGAGCACAGGGCCCTGAGTTCAAGCCCTGGTACTAGCCAAAAGAGAGGGAGAGACAGACAGCGTGAACAATTAGTGTAATTTATAAAGATTAGTGGAAGTGCTGGCTCAGTAGTAGAGTGCTTGCCTCGCATGCATGAGGCCTTGCATCCAATTCCTCAGCACCATACAAGCAGAAAAAGCCGAAAGTGGCGCTGTGACTCAAGTGGTAGAGTGCTAGCCTTGAATTAGTGGAAGTCAGAAAGGTGTTTGACTAGAGAATGGAAGTGAATTAGATAGCATTTGCCTCATTCCTAGTTGTTGTTGTTGTTTTGGTGTGTGTGTGTGTGTCTTGAACTCAGGTCTTGAACTCATTGCTTGGGTGTCTCTGAGCTTTAGTGCTGAAAGCTAGTGCTCTACCTCTTGAGCCACAGCTGTACTTCTGTCTTTTGTGTTTGTTTGTTTTTGTTTTGGGGGTTGGGTGGGGTTGAGGGGCTGTTTTACTTGGAGATAAGTCTCAAGTACTTGCCTGTCCAGGTTAGCTTCAAACCTGTGAACCTCTGATCTCAGCCTCCTGAGTAGCTAGGATTATAGGTGTGAGCCACCAGCCCCTGGCTTCATTCCTGCTTCTGAGTGAGCTGGCCAGCAGGGGAGGCTCCCTCCTGGGTGCTGATGTGTGTGGAGGACAGGTCCAGGAAGGAAGCTGGCATTAGGATCTCACTTGCCTGGAAGGCCTGGCCTTGGGAAATATTTAAGGGAAAAGGTGTGGACAGCCATTTCGTGGTATTCTGTCTTCAGCGATCCTCTTGGTAGTGTCTCACTGTGAGTGAACATCTCCTTTACCTTTGTTTTTTCTCTAGGGGCAGGAGGGGGAGTAGGTAGCACAGGGGCGCGCAGGAAATTGCTGCCTCTGTATTCACTAGGCAGTTACCGCCGTGGCAGGTCCTCTGAGTCTTGGACCAAACACATTCCAGGTGAGCCACTTGAATGATGGAGCATTCGTGAGCACATTGGCTCAGAGCTGCGGCAGCTGCCACCTGTGGCTCTGCTGCCTATGTCGGATCTCCTTAGAAGGCTCCAGGACTGGACAGTTCCACGTGTATTTAAGTGAGGGCTACTCCCCTTGGTTTGTGAGTTAGTGAGGTTATGACTCCTTTGGTTTCTCATTTCTGGTTTTGACACTTGAGGAGTCATCTTTTTGGCCTGGGTTGCCATCAGTAAACGAAATCAAGCCACGACACATGTCTGGGCAGATTCCCTGGAACACAGACCAAAGAAAGAGAAGCATGGAACAGGAGAAGATTGAATTTGGATTCCATCAGAGAGATCAGTCAGGAACAGAATTCCACATCCCTGAAGTTTTCTATTCGATTAGATAGGTTTAAGATTCTTTGTTGGCAAACGACAGAAATAAACTTCGAATATGTTAAGCTCCCGCCCCCCCCAAAAAAAGATTTATTGCTTACTAATTGGAAAGAAAAGTTAATAAGCCAGTCTTCATAAAGGACTAGAGCCAGCACAGCCTTGGGATCTTGGGAACTTCTGTTGTGTTGACTAAGTAACATCAGTACCCAGGCCCTCCTTTCTGTTTGTAAGTCAAAGCCTCAGGAGTAGGAGTGAGGCCTGGCTGGTATGACTGACTGGCCGAATCCTAGGGATGGAGTGGGTTTCTGCGAGCCGTAGCAGGCTGCTGTTACTCAAAGAAGGGACACCTGCTAAGCAGGGGTGAGGGAACAGACCTCTGTCCTCAGAGCTCCGAGAAAACCACTGTGAGAACAGGACAGGAGCTGGGACTTCAAGCTAATGTCACTGACTCCTATTTCAAGTGCCTGAGGGGTGTGTGTGTATGTGTGTCTGTGTGTGTGTGTGTGTGTGTGTGTGTCTGTGTGTTATGTTTTGTCGGGGCTTGAACTCAGAGCCTGGGTGCTATCCCTGAGGATTTTTTTCTCTCAAGACTAGCGCTCTACCACTTTGAGCCATAGCACCACTAATGGTTTTTGGTGGTTCATTGGAGATATGAAGTCTCACGGACTTTGCTGCCAGGGTAGGCATAGAAATGGGATCCTTAGATCTTAACTTTTTAAGTACCTTGGATTACACGTGTGAGCCTCTGATGCCTGGTGTTTTTATGTTGAGAGTTGCCATACTAAGTTTAGTTCTTTATCAATAGTTGCTATGAAATAAGTATGTTTTGGAAGACACTTGCCTTGCAAAAAATTTTTTTCCCACCTCCAAAAAAAATTTTTTTTTTTCTCACTGGGTGCCAGTGGTTCGCATCTGTAATCCGAGCTACTCAGGAAACTGAGATCTGAGGATTGCAGTTCGAAGCCAACCTAGGGCAAGAAAGTCCATGAGACTCTGATCTCTAATAAACCACCAGAAATTCAGAAATGGATTTTTGGCTCAAAGTGGTAGAGCACTAGCCTTGAGCAAAAGAGCCCAGGAGTAGCATCTGAGTCCAAGCCCTACAACTGACCAAAAAAAAAAAGGCGAGAAAAATGCCCCCGTGGGGAGTAGCCTTCTAGAAATGTCTAAAACTGGGTTTGGGGAAGTAGCTCAGTGGTAGGGTGTTTGTGCCCAGTTTGTAAGGTCCCGAGTTTTGTTTTTTGTTTTTTTTTTTGGTCCAGTCATGGGGCCTGGGCGCTGTCCCTCAGCTCTTCAGCTCAAGGCTAGTGCTCTACCACTTGAGCTACAGTGCCACTTCTGGCTTTTTGCTTATGTGGTGCTGAGGAATCGAACCCAGGGCCTCATGCATGCAAGGCAAGCACTCTACCACTGAGCCACCTTCCCAGCCCAAGGTCCCGAGTTTTTAACCAGAGCCAGAAGGGAAGTTCCTTGGTGGTTTTGGTTAAACCAATGAGAGTGATCTGTACTCACTTGCAAGGTTAAACCAATGAGAGTGATCTGTACTCACTTGCAAGGTTCCTGTGTGTGTGTGTGTGTGTGTGTGTGTGTGTGTTGGGACTCACAGTGACTGTACTCACTTGCAAGGTTAAACCAATGAGAGTGATCTGTACTCACTTGCAAGGTTAAACCAATGAGAGTGATCTGTACTCACTTGCAAGGTTCCTGTGTGTGTGTGTGTGTGTGTGTGTGTGTTCGTTCGACAGGTGTGTTGGGACTCATGTCTCCTGACCTAACATGTAGTCATCCTGAAACTGTTCCGTAGCACATAGCTATAACACCTTCCCCTGGCAAGCTTGTTCACAGAGACAACTTCTCTTGGTTAATCGGCTTCTCTCTCTTCTGGTCAGGTCCTTTCAGATCATGTCCATAGTCAGTGGTGTCCAGCATCTGCCAGGCTGATCCATGGTCACTTTCCGGGATGGCAGCAAGGTGACTTCAGCTGAGGATGACCCTGACTGAAAGGCTGCGGGAGAAGATATCTCAGGCCTTCTATAACCATGGGCTGTTCTGCGCATCGTACCCCATCCCCATCATCCTCTTCACGGGACTCTGCATCTTAGCCTGCTGGTATGTGTCTGGCTGACCTTCAATACCTCTAGGGACAGTAGGTGTTCTGCACTTCACTGCTACCGAGTCCATAGGGGGAACTTTGGCTTATTGGAGGTGCACAGCTCCAGTCTTGAGGAATTCGGCCAATAAAATAAAGTAGTCCAGGCTGGCTTCGACTCCGTAATTCACCACACTTGTTGGCATCACTAGTATAGTGTATCAATTTGTAAAAACTTTTAACACAGTTGAAAGGTATGATCTTTTCCTTCCTTTCTGTTTCCTCTTTCCTTTTCTTCCCTCCCTCCCTCCTTCTCCTCTTCTTTCCTTTCCTCTCCTCTCCTCTCCTTTCCTTCCTTTCCTCTTCCTTTTCCTTCCTTCCTTCCTCTCCCCCTGCCCCCTCTCTCTTTCTCTCTTTCTTTTTTCTTTCTCTCTCTCTCTCTCTCTCTTTCTTTCTTTCTTGGACTGGGTCTGTCCCTGAGCTTCTTTTTTTTTGTTGTTGTTGGTCGTGGGGCTTGAACTCTGGGCTTGGGTGCTGTCCTTGACTCTTCAGCTCAAGGCTAGTGCTCTACCACTTGAGTCACAGTGCTACTTCTGGCTTTCTGAGTGATTTATTGGAGATAAGAGTCTCATGGGCATTCCTGCCTGGGCTGGCTTTGAACTGCAATCCTCAGATCTCAGCCTCCTGAATAGCTAGGATTACAGGTGGCTTTTTCTGTGTATATGGTACTGAAGGAATGGAATCCTAGGGCTTCATGCATGCTAGGCAAGCGCTCTACCACTAAGCCACATTCCTAGTCCCAGGCATGATCTTTTCATTCTGTGCATGACCCTCCCCCCAAAAAAACAAAACAAAACAAAAACAAACCCATCTCCTTTCTGTGTGCTGATACTGGAATTTGAACTCGGGGTGTTGTATTCTCACTTGGCTCTTTTGCTTATAACTGCCACTCTACCACTTGAGCCATGCCTCTACTTCCATTTTTTTTTTGCCAGTCCTGGAGCTTGAACTCGGGGCCTGGGCACTGTCCTTGAGCTTTTTTGGCTCAAGGCTAGCACTCTACCACTCGAACCACAGCACCACTTCTGGCTTTTCCTGTGTATGTGGTACTGAGGAATGAAACCCCAGGGCTTCATGCATGATAAGCGAGCGCTCTACCACTAGGCCACATTCCCAGCCCGACTTCCATCTTTTTGCTGGTTAATTGGAGTCTTGGGTTTGTCTGCTAGGACTGGTTTTAAACCGTGATTCTCAGACCTTAGCCTTCTGAATGGGAAGGATTATAGGCGTGAGTCACTGGTGCCTGGTTTCATTTTTTTCTTCCTGACAGTGGAAGTTTCCTTTAGTGGCTGATGAGTAGGCCTTCAAGTGTTGCAAGCATCCATTTGAACACCAAAGTTCCTTGGACACACTTTTGCAGGTAACCTCTAAGACTGGCTTCTCTGCTCTTTCTCTTATGTTCATGTACAGACTGGTTTTGTCTCTTGTTGATTCATGGAGCCTGCCAAGGACTCCAGTGAGAGTCACAGATGCCCTTGATTCTTATCTGGCTTTCCCAGGGTCACATAGAAGTCTGAATCCTGGCTAGTAATAACGTCGAAAAAAGAGGAGCTTGATTTAATATAAGATTTGCTGACCCCCTGGGACTAAAATGCCAACAGCTATGCACAGAGCCAACCTTATTCTTTTCTCTGGAAAGAATTCTAGGTTCCAGGATCACCGTACATCTGACATGTATAGACATTTCCAGTGCCACGGGGGTAGGATGGCTCAGGACTGAGCGTCCTGTTGAGTTCTCTGTAAATGAGCCCAAGTTCGTCCGCCATTAGCAGTCGGAAAGGTGAACGCTATTGAGTACATCGTGCTGTGGGCCATCTAGGTGTGTCAGGCATATAATGAAATGTGATTCTCATGACTGAGGGGACCACCTCAGGAAGAGGCCCAGTTCCAGTATCAGTAAACAGACATTTGCTTGATCCACACAACTGAGATGGGGAAACTGAGGCCCACCTGCACCATTGGCATCTGACACCCAGTCAGTGTGGCTCGGAGTGGAGAACAGTATGTAAACTTTGCTAAATTGTGCATGTGTGAGATAACGTATTTGTAGCAACATATTCTAAATGATGGCTTGAGGGTCCCCTGAGGACCCAGCCTTTCCTTTGTTTTTCTCTAAGATAACTGACCCTTTGTCTTTATTTTTTGGGTCCAGTCGTGGGGCTTGAACTCTGGGCCTGGGCGCTGTCCCTCAGCTCTTCAGCTCAAGGCTAGTGATCTACCACTTGAGCCACAGCGCCACTTCCGGCTTCTTTCTTATGTGGTGCTGAGGAATTGAACCCAGGGCCTCAGGCATGCAAGGCAAGCGCTCTACCACTGAGCCACCTTCCCAGCCCGACCCTTTGTCTTTAATGTTAGACTTTTCCAGGCCTAGCATCTAGGCCAAGGCAGAGGATCTCAAACTTGAGTGAGTGTCAGAACCACCTCACTTCAGAGTTCCTGAGGTGTCAGGTCAGGGTTCAGGGTGGGCCTAAGAATTTACTCTGGCAAGTTCCAAGGCCTGGAAATCACATGTTAGGAAGCACTAAGCTATGTCTCTCTGAAGTTCTGCTTCATTGCCTAGCTAAAAGTGTAGTCTTTTTTTTTTTTTGGGTCCGGTCATGGGGCCTGAACTCTGGGCCTGGGCGCTGTCCCTCAGCTCTTCAGTTCAAGGTGAGCGCTCTACCACTTGAGCTACAGCGCCACTTCCGGCTTTTTTCTTTTTGCTTATGTGGTGCTGAGGAATGGAACCCAGGGCCTCAGGCATGCAAGGCAAGCGCTCTACCACTGAGCCACCTTCCCAGCCCTGTCTTCTTTTATTCTAATTTCGGTCTTTTTCTTTTTTCATGTGTGTGTGTGCGCGCGCTATTTCTGAGGTTTGAACTCAGGGCCTGGGTGCTGTTCCTGAGCTTTTCTTTTGTTCAAGGTTGGCGCTCTATCACTTGAGTCACAGCTTCACTTACGTGTTTTTGGCAGTCAGTTGGAGATAACAGTCTCATGGACTTTTCCTGTCTAGCCTGGCTTTGAACTGTGATCCTCAGATTCATCCTCCTGAGTAGCCAGGGTTATAGGTGTGCAGGCTTATTCCTTTTGACAAAATCACACTCTGTAGCCGAGGCTGGCCCTGAACTTGAGATTTTCCTGCCTCAGCCTGATGAGTGATGGGATTTGGGGCATGTTGTCACCTCACCTGGCTTATTCTTTTTCTCAGTTTGTGTTGGCACTTTCGGCATTGATTGGCACTCATGTTACCTTGTGTTGAAGAGAGTGAGATGTGTGTAGCAGCTGCGTGGGTACAGTTGCATCTTCTCTTTTGATTGAGTGCTTTGACATCACACAAGAGTTTCAAAATGCACTGTCCTTGCCTGTGAGATATTCAAGGAAATGAAAGCTAGCTGGCCTTTGACTCAGAGGCCTGAGAGTAACAGACTCCACGAGCGTGGCAGAGCCAAGCCTAGGCAAGATCTGCCTAGACAGAGAACAGAATCCTTCCGAGGTGAGTGGTCCTTTGTAACAAAGCAGGGCAGAGAGCACAAAGGTGGCTTTGTATGCGCCTTAATCCAAGTGCATGTGGCAGACCATGATAGGGACACATCCTGGTGTGACCCACGGCCACCGAATTACAGCATAGCCAGTGTAAGCGGAGGAGCTGGGGGCACTGACCCAGTGAAGTCCTTTGGGAAGAATTGGCGGCTGCTTTTGGCCTTTTTAACTCGTGATACAGTTGTACTGGAGAATCCATAGATTCTGGACCATTTTGTCCAGGGGCCTAGAAATCCCTGATCCAGAGATAAAATGTTTGCGATCATCTTCCATCCTGGGAAGCTGTTTGCGATCATCTTCCATCCTGGGAAGCTGTTTGCGATCATCTTCCATCCTGGGAAGCTGTTCTGGCTGGAGCAGCTCCCTCTGTCAGAGCCGTGTTGTCGTGGGATCGCTCACCTTCCGTTGTTTCTCCGATGAGGCGTTTGTTCAGCTTGAATGTCCCTGCTGGGATGAGTACCCACCTGGATGGTAGCAGTACTTTTTGCTGATCCCCAACACCTCCACTGGGTGAAATGAACTCCAGAAAATGAACAGAGAGCCAGGACTCGAGGGGATGGTGACCAATGCAGCTTAGGTCTGTGCTTTTCTCCAGGCAGGAGAGGGAGAGTCTGGGCAGTGAGTGAGTGTGTGTGTGAGTGTGTAACTGAGTGACCAGATATGACTGCAGACGACTTCAATGCTGAACCTTACAAGGGAGCCCTAGTTTCCTGGCTTCGGCCCCCCCTCCCCCCTTGCACCAGGCTGCTCTTTCCTATGGGAAAATATGATGAAACTTGTAGCCAATAGTCACTGTGGCAAGAAGTATCTGTTTCCATTTCCTAGAGGTCAGCCCACAGGGACCCGAGGTGCGTCCCCTGCAGCTGACCAGAAGGCTGCTGGTGCGCCGCTGTGGCCTGTCCTCATAAGTGTGGGTACACACAGGGTGAGCGACTGAGCGTGTGGATGTCATCCAACTGCAGATAGAGAGTAACGTGCGCATCACTGAATCATTTGTGATTTGGGAGCGGCTGCTTGTGGGGAAGCAGGTAGATTGTAGCTTGGAGAGGAAGTTGGAGTCTTGAGGCTGTACTGAACTTCAGGCAGGATGGCGGATCCTTTGGGTGTGGCTCCATTACCATTTCTTTTCCTTGGCTGGTAAGCAAAAGGATCCTGGGAGCAGGATCTCTGGTCTCCTGGCCAGAAAGTTCCAGAATCTGTGCATTCTCTAGTACTGCTTTCTCATCGTTCAGGCTGAGGCCGGACATATCGGTTGTGGTGGCCCCCACTAGTTCTCAGTTTGCTCCGTGATCACCAGGAACCCTAGGGGGGGGGGGTCACACACCAGGAGTTGTGTGAGTTCTCTTTTTGGCTGCTCACATGGCCCCTCTCTGTTTAAACTCATTCAGAGTAGCTCAAGGACAGCTGAGCATACCTTTGGTCTCTGCCCTGAGTCTCAGACTCAGGAGAAGCCAGCTTCTTGACACTACTCTGTGGCACTGACCAGTCAGCATTCCAAAGCCACAGGTTACCCATGGCCTCCCAAGCAAAGCCCATAGAAGATCAAGAACATTCAACATAAAACTCCTCAGAGGATATTCAGCCTCTCTCTATCCTTCCTCGATCTTGTATTGATCTCCACTAAAGAGTGTGGTGGTGTTGGTGTGTGCGTGTGGGGGGGTGTATTTCCCTTCCCTGATGTCTTCCAAGAAGATTATCTCTGATATTTCTGATCATTTCTGAAGTTGCTTTCTGCATGTCTCCAGTGACTCCCGCGTTTCCCATTAGAGGTGACTGGAGGTTGAGAATGAGGGGAGTGCATAATGTACCTCATTCCTCAGAAAGCAGAATATAATCCCAGCCATTTGGAAGGTGGAGATAAGAGGACTGAAGTTTGAGGCCAACTGTGTAAAATGTTAGTGAGATCCTATCTCAAAAACAAGTAAGACGTGGTGGTTCACTTTTACTCTCAGCTACCTAGTAATTGTCCTAAGGAGGATCTCTGTTCAAGATTTTTGCCCAGGCAAAAAGCCTAACACCCTATCTGCAACAAAGCCAAAAGAGCTGAGGGTATGGTCAAATGGTAAAGTGCTTGCATCCTTGAGTTCAAGCCCTTGAATGACCAAGAAGAAGGGGGGGGGGTTGGGCAATCAGAGTGTCATTCTGATTCACTGCTCTGTTACTTCTGGTTTGCTTTATAGCTTTGTTTTCTTTCATGATTTAAAACGATAACCCTCCTAATGTTTACAAGTCAGTGTTAATGGACAGATAATGTAGAGGATCTAATGTGTAATGATAGCAGTCTAAAGGGGAGAAGAATGGACTGCACGCATGGAGTGTTTGTACTCAGCTGGAGCGGAGTTTTTCGACTTTTAGTTGTTTGTCCTTGAAGCTTCCCGATGCCTTCTTCTCACACCTGCCATTGGACCCCTCTGTAGCACCGCTATTCAGACAAGATTTCAGACGTGAATTGTAATCCCTAGGGTAACCACAAAGAAAATAGATTTAAATACAGAAAAGGAAAGAAGAGAATCAAAATGACATACTAACAAAAAAAAGAACCAACCAAGCTAGGTATTACTTCAGGTTGGCTCATGCCTAGAATTCTACCTATATGAGATTGGGAAGAGTGTAGTTCAGACTGGCCTAGTGAAATGGTCATCTCAACTAATAGCTAGATTCAGTGTAGCATGCCTGTTATCTCAGCCACCTGCAGTATAAGATTGGGAGGATCTAGGTACTAGGCAATCCTGGAGGCAAAAGTTCAAGAGACCTAATCTCAAGCTGGGCGTCATCGTCTGTGCCTGTCGTCTCAGTTAGGGTGAGAAACATAAAAGGGGGATAGAGATCCAGGCTGGGTAAATAAATGAGGCTCTCTCTAACAAATGACTAGAGCAAAAAGGGTTGGGGGGTATGGTTCAAGTGGTAGAGTGCTTGGCCTGGCAAGTGTGATGCAAAGCACAGCCTGGAATAATCTGGCCCTACTTTTACAGGGCTTGAATTGTTTCAAGGAGAACCTTGGGTCTGGCCTGAAGTCTGCTGCTCAAGACTCTACATGCTTCTCTGATTCTTCCCTCATTACCCAACTCCACTGCGCCAGAGATCCCATCTGTCTTGTTCATCTCTGAGCCTTGCACAATAATCTGGCCCTGAGGTGGTACTCAACCATTTATTGAAAGAATGACTATTGAGAAAAGCCACCATGCTAACTAGTGCTCAGTCGCTTGGTGTGACAACCTCAGAACTGGACAGAAAACCATTTCCAAAAAGAGAGGAGCAGATTACCCCTCAGGCTCCAACTGCCAAGGGAATCGCAGAACCTTTGTCTCCCCTTCTGTTGAATGTATCATGTATCCTATCCTACACTGTAGGTGACTGCTAACGGGGAAAGTTCAGATCTGGTGCCTTGTGGGACCCAACCCAAGCAGACCTCCCCCAGAGACGCTTCCGTGTTGTTTCACTGGACTAGTGTGGTGTTTGCAGCTTGCTGCTTGGGTGTGAAATTGCCTTCGCTGGATGACTCCATGTTGAACATAACCAGCAAACCAAACAGGGCTGGAGGTGCGGCTCCAGTGGTAGAACATTGGCTGAAATCAACCCCCAACTCTGTCCTCAAGTAACAAAGCACAGTAAAGTTGTAAATGTCCAATGGTAGAGGACTTGCTTAGCACGCACAGGCATGTGCGCATGTGCACCTCTGCATGTATACACATACCATCATACACACTGAGATACCACCTCCCACGGCCTCCCCTGCATGGTTAAAGCCAAGTAGACAGATAATATCAAGAGGTGGCAAGGGGCCTTGGAGTGTGGCTCAGGTGGTACAATCTCTTCCTGGGGCATACTCGGCCTTGAGTGCAAGCCTGTGGTCCAATCTCAAAAGACTTGAGTCCTGGAAGATTGTGGTTTGAAGCCAGCCTGGGCAGAAAAGTCTGTGAGATACCATCTCCAATCAACTAGAAAAATGACAGACTGGAGATGTGGCTCAAGTAATAGAGCATCAGCCATGAGAAATAGCAGAAGGCCCCTGAGTTCAAACCCTGGTAACAGCAAAAAAATAAAAATAAAAAAAATACTGACGATCTGCTCTATGAGCCCGTGTGGATGAATCTAGTGGTGAAGATGCAGTTGAAAGCAGCAAATCACAAAAGAGTACATAGTAGAATGTACTTTAAATAGGTAAAACTCTTAATTTTACTTCATAAATAGGTAAAACTCTGGGCATGGTGACTCAAGTCTAAAATTCTTGGCTATGTGGAAGGTAAAGATGCTGGGTTCTGGTGGCTCATGCCTGTAATCCTAGCTACTCTGAGATCTGAGGATCGTGGTTCAAAGCCAGCCTAGACAGGAAAGTCTGTGAGACTCTTATCTGAAAGCACCAAAAAGCTGGAAGTGGAGTAGTGGTTCAAGGGCTGGAGCACTAGCCTTGAGCCGAAAAGCTCAGGGACAGCACCCAGGCACTGAGTTCAAGCTCTAGTACCAGCACCAAGAAACAGATCAAGGGGTGGAGAATCGAGGCCAGTTTGGCCAGGAACGTTGATAAGACTTGATTTCAGATAATGGCATGAGCCTGTCCTCATCCCCAGTGACACAGGTAAGCACACGTAGGATGGTTGCAGGCCAGGCCAGCTGGGCATAAAGCAGATAACCAATGCTGATCACATTGCTCAGATGGTGGAGTGGTTAGTGAGTGAAAAGTCTAGCAAGGCCCTGAGTTCAGGATCATCCAAAACAGATCAACCTAGGCTTGGGGGTATAGCTCCGTGGCTGAGCACATGCTTAACATGCACGAAGAAGCTTTGGGCTCACACACACAAAAAGGTCAAACTAAATTTGTGATGATGATTATAATGGTGTTAATGTTTGGAGGTGGGTGGGGTGTATGTCAACTGGTAGTGGGTCCCAGGCTACCGTTGAAGGTTCTGGAAATACTCCCAGCTTGCTCTCTCTGGTGGTTACAGGGGTATGTAGGGAAAGTCATTGCTCTCTATATCTATGCTTGCCTGCTCTTCTTGCTCTTGTCATCCTCCTGCTTCAGCCTCCTATTCAGGTGATTGCGGAATATTGAAAACATCATCTAAAGAGAGATGCCTAAAACAAAAATGCACATCTGTTTGCCAAGTTATTCTTGTGAAGGAAAAACCTTGGGCCAGTCATCTTGTGCTACATAGTTTCCAGAGTCTGTCCTTCACATTGCTCAGCTATCTAAATCACAGTCTATCTGGACTTTGAGTCTTCTCCCCTCCCCCAGAGTGCTTTTTTCTTTTCTTTTTCCTTTTTTCCTTCCTTGGGTGCTGTCCCTGAGCTCTTCAGCTTAAGACTAGTATTCTAGCCGGGCACTGGTGGCTCACGCCTGTAATCCTAGCTACTCAGGAGGCTGAGATCTGAGGATCGTGGTTCAAAGCCAGCCCGGGCAGGAGCGACTGTGAGACTCCTATCTCCAATAAGCCATCAGAAAACCGGAAGTGGCGCTGTAGCTCAAGTGGTAGAGCGCTCGCCTTGAGCTGAAGAGCTGAGGGACAGCGCCCAGGCCCAGAGTTCAGGCCCCACGACCGGACCCCCCCAAAAAAAGAACAGTCCCTGTAGTGTCAGCAGGCATCCACTTCTCCTCAGGCACTCGGCACGGTGGCACTTTGTGCAGGAAGCCCACCTGGCTTTCTGGTATGCAGCCCCAGCTTCTCCTCTGTGCCCTGTACTGGCCTGTTGGCATTGTATTCCCTTCACGTTTATAGACACCTATGTTTTGCACATAGTAGATGCTCACAAAAGGGTTCGTAGTGGATAAAGAAACAGGCTTAGGTAGGAGACAGCAAGCCCGTGGTTTTCCTGTAGCAGGGTAGAAGAGAAGCAGGTGGCACCAAGTTGAATCTGAGCCTGGAGGTGTAAGCGCTACCCCAGCAGCGGAGCCATTCCTTTGGAAGCAATGGCGGTCTAGGGCGAGTACAGCCGGATGAGCCGGTGGCTTCCACACAGGGGCCTGCGAGCCTCCCGCCTGCACTGAGGTGCCCTTTCCCTCTGCCCCATTTCTCCTACAGTATGTGGGCGCCCCCGTGGCGTACATCCAGCAGATATTTGTGAAGTCCTCAGTGTCTCCCTGGCACAAGAATCTCCTGGCAGTGGATGTGTTCCGCTCCCCTCTGTCCCGCGCCTTCCAGCTGGTGGAGGAGATCCGGAACCACGTGCTGAGAGACAGGTAGCCCTCTCTGCGCGACATCTCTCAGCAGCCTTGTGGCTTCACTGCGGCTGCCTTTCCCCTGTCAAGACCCCAGTTTGAGCCCTGAGCTCTGTCCTCATAGCTCAGACACAGCAAGTGTCTGTGGATCTGACAGATGTCTGCTGGGACCTCAGGCCATCGTGGATCACCGTCACATTTTACTTAGTTAATGGCTTTTTGTGTGTGCGCTCCGGGACTTGAACTCGGGGCCTGGGTGCTGCCTCTGAGCATTCTTGCTCAAGACTAGTCTCTCCCATTATGTAACATCTCCACTGCCAGCTTTTTTGGTGTTTAATTGAAGATAAGTCTTTGCTGCCCAGGCTGGCCTCCAACTTTGATCCTCAGATCTCGGCTTCCGGAGCAGCTGGGATGACAGGCGTGAGGCTTTTGACAAGGGTTTTGATCAGTTAGCTAAGTCCCTTGGTAGGCTGTGCGGCCACAGAGCCTGGTGCTGAGCCCCTGGACGTACGTTCGCTGCCGCCCTAACCACCTGCAGCCACCAGGGGGCACGTGGGAGCCGTGTCAGGAGCACGGGGACGGGCTGTGCTGGCCTCGGCTGGAGGTGTAGCTGGGGCCTCCTTATGTCTCCTGCACAGCTCCGGGACGCGGAGCCTGGAGGAAGTGTGCCTGCAGGTGACCGACCTGCTCCCAGGCCTCAGGAAGCTCCGCAGTCTCCTCCCTGAGCACGGCTGCCTGCTGCTGTCCCCTGGAAACTTCTGGCAGAATGACCGGGAGCGCTTCTACGCGGACCCTGACATCATCGGGACCATCCACCAGCATGAGCCCAAAACCCTGCAGACATCAGCCACCCTCAAAGGTTCCCCCGACCCGCGCCTCTTCTCCCGAGACTTGGCCGTGGCAGGGCAACGCCCCCCTCCCGGCGTGCAGGCCCTCGGGGTGGCCGTCATGTCCCGCCTCTGCTTGCAGACCTGCTGTTCGGCGTGCCCGGGAAGTACAGCGGGGTGAGCCTGTACACGAGGAGGAGGATGGTCTCCTACACCATCACCCTGGTCTTCCAGCATTACCATGCCAGGTGGGGCGGCGAGGGGGAAGGGGGGATACAGGGTGCTCAGAACGAATGCTTGGGCTCAGGCCCAGGCCTGAACATTTCAGGGAGGCCATGTGCTGTGTGTGTGTGGGGGGGGGGGTCTGTGGGCGGGGTGTATGGGTGTGGAGGGGCAGCAAAGGAGGAGCTGGTAGTTTGAGTGTCCCGGGCTCTCCCCTCCTTTCCCCTCCACCCGGACATTTTGGAGCCTCCTGCGGCTCAGGTGTTCCCCGTGGGGCGCTGCAGGTGACCTTCACAGAGGCCAGCGCCCTGGACGTGCCCCTGATCAGCTTCCCCAAGGGCTTTGGAGAAGGAGCCAGGGTATCTTCTAGAAGTTTCTTCCCAGCATGGGGGAATCGGCCTGGGAATATTGCTCAAGGGGCAGGCCCTGAGTTCAAACCCCGCTACTGCCAGAATCAAGCCCACATGGGAGGATGGTGACCCCTGGCCCCTCCCAGAGCGTCTCCTCGTTTCTAGCTTCCTGGGGAGCCTGCGTGCCCGGCTCATGCTCCTGCACCCCAGCCCAAACTGCAGCCTTCGCGCCGAGAGCCTGGTCCACGTGCACTTCAAGGAGGAGATCGGCGTGGCTGAGCTCATCCCCCTGGTGACCACCTACATCATCCTGTTTGCCTACATCTACTTCTCCACACGTATGTCCACCTGCATGTCCAACGTGGAGCTCACGGGTGTCTCCCTGGAAAGATCACCAGAATCAGGGCCTCCTCCCTAGTGTGGGGCCGCGGGGGGGTGGGGGGAGGAATTCCTCCTAGCTCTCAGGTTCCCTAAACCCATGGGTGTCTGTGACCCTGAGAAGTGAAATGCCCCTGGGAATGCTTTTCTTTTGGTTAAACCCTGGGACTCTTCCCCTCCTCCTTGTCAGGGCCTAAGCTTAGAGGGACCAGGGGCTAAGCCCCGGACCCCTCGATGTTCCTTCTCTGCCCACTAGGCAAGATCGACATGGTCAAGTCCAAGTGGGGCCTGGCCCTGGCGGCCGTGGTCACGGTGCTCAGCTCGCTGCTCATGTCTGTGGGACTCTGCACGCTCTTTGGCCTCACGCCCACCCTCAATGGCGGGTAGGTCCCTGCAGGCCTCGCCGGGCCATGGGGTGGGCCCTTCGGCCACAGAGCCTCGCACATCTGCACTTGGCTTCCCTGGCTTCCCGTGCCTTCCCCTGGTTAGCTTTGATCTTTAACAGGTACGTTTCTACTGGGCACCGGTGGCTCATACCTGTCATCCTAGCTACTCAGAGGCTGAGATCTGAGGATTGTGGTTTCAGAGCCAGTCTGGGTAGGAAAGGCCGTGAGACTCTTATCTCCAACAAACTACTCAGAAAAAGCTGCAAGTGGTACTATGGCTCAAGTAGTAAAGCAAAAGAAGTTCAGAGACAGTGCTCAGGCCCTGAGTTCAAGCTCCATGAACAGCACAATAAAAAAATGTACATTTTCTTCCTCTTATCTAGTTTATGTTCATGTTTGTGTTGTGTATCTAAATACAGTATATTTAAATGTATATGTAATAGTTATGGGCATGTACAGAGTAAGCATGTAAATGCACTTATGTGTATATGTAAGTATGATTTGCACGTGTGTTTTAAGCATATCCACAGGTCTGTTTGTCCACTTTTTTGTGTGTGTCGGTCATGGGACTTGAACTCTGGGCCTGGGCGCTGTCCTCAGCTCTTCAGCTCAAGGCGAGCGCTCCACCACTTGACCCACAGCGCCACTTCCAGCTTTTTTCTGCTTATGTGGTGCTGAGAAATCAAACCCAGGCCTCATGCATGCGAGGCAAGCACTTCTACCACTGAGCCACCTTCCTAGCCCTTGTGTACTCTTTTGGTGGGTATATATGATGGTATTAAGGCTTGAACTCAGGACCTCTTGCTCTCTAGCTTGGCTTTTTCACTTAAGGCTGGCACTGTGCCACTTGAGCCACGCCTCCACTTTGGGCTTTTCTGCTGATTAATTGGAGAGAATATCCTCACAGGCTAGTTTAGTTTAGAACTGGAATCCTCAGATCTCAGCCTTCTGAGTAGCTAGGATTATAGGCGTAAGCCACCGGCACCCACCCATTTTCTGTTTTAATGTTAACTGCCTCATTTGGGGGTGATGGTTCACATCTATAATCCCAGCTACTCATGAGGCTGAAATCTGCCTCTGCCTCCTTCAAAGCCAATCGGAGCAGACAAAACCCCTGTGTCCAGTTAGCCAGCAAAGAGCCAGCTGACGAGGCAGGGCCCCGCTGGTAGAGCTTCTGCATGGGCCTTGAGTTTTTCACTTGAACCAGAGCATGAAGCCCCGAGTTGAAGGCCCCAGCACTGACACTTACATGTAAAGGGGCATCCTCTTTTTTCACTGTTTACTTTGTGTTTGACTCTTCTGGGTCTGGAAGCCCCTCCCTGTGTTCATCTTTGGATCTTTGGCCTAAGCCAAACCAAGCCCCTGCCTGCCTTGCCTGTCTGTGGTTAGTGGCGGAGTGGCCTGTCTCTCACCCCAACCCCCAACCCGCCAGTGCTCGAACGAACTTCCAGCCAGGCCTCACCCTAGGGAGCAGTGCCTCGGTACCGTTTCTGTTGCTTTCCTCGTGGTCGAACACCCGGACACCCACTGTCTCTTCTGCGCCCATCACCTGCGCCCCGCCTGCCCCCCCCCCCACAGCAGCCTCCCTTCCCCTGGTCACAGCTCAGCCATCCCCCCAAGTGGGAGGTTGCGCAGGCCCAGACTTGAGGGTTGGGTCCCACCTGCCATTAGTTCTGGTGGCTCGGCCTGGCCTCGGCAGGCATCATTCTGCCAGCCAGCAGTATGGTGGGGCCTGACAGCTGGGCAGCGCAGCTGGTGGTGCTCTCTTTCGGGGCGAGGGGTGGGAGCCCTGGCAGGCCCAGCGAGCCTGGCGCGAAGCACCTCACCACCCGCCATCCTCTCCTTCCTGTCTCCCTGCGTCTCCAGAGAGATTTTCCCATACCTCGTGGTGGTCATTGGCTTAGAGAACGTGCTGGTGCTCACCAAGTCAGTGGTCTCCACCCCTGTGGACCTGGAGGTGAAGCTCCGGATTGCCCAAGGTAATGCAAAGTGGGGCGGGGCGGGGCAGCTTTGCACACACCCCCCAGCCTCCTGAGCGAGGTCCCCGTGACCCCTGTGCCCTGGTGCCGCCCTCCGCAGGCCTAAGCAGTGAGAGCTGGTCCATCATGAAGAACATGGCCACCGAGCTGGGCATCATCCTTGTGGGCTACTTCACCCTTGTCCCTGCGATCCAGGTACAGTGCCAAGGCCCACGGCTGTGCACACAGGGCAGGGTGCGCCTGGCCGCGGTGACCTGCGGGACAGGCTGGCTCACCACAGGGTGCTCGTGCTCCAGGCAGGCGCAGCCCCGTCACAGGGCCGGGGGCGCGGCCAGGCCCGCCAGCCTTGGGCCCTGCCTGACCTGCCCGGGCCTGCAGGCCGGTGGCTGTGTATTTCCCGCAGTCCTGGCCGTTAGCGCCGCTGTAGCTTCTCCAGCTTGTGGTAGAGGCTGCGTTGCTGCGCCAGCCATGCCCGGGCCGCGAGACCAACTGCAGGGTGGAAAGCTTCCAGCAACTTCATTTGGCCTCTTGGGCCTAGGGACGGCTGAGGTCTCCCACTTCTTCCTTTCGTCTGCCGTGGGTCCAGGGCGGCGGCGGCCGGGAAGCTCGGGGGGGGGGGTGTCGGCTGGAACGGGGGGCCGCCGGCCCTCGCTCACGCCCTCCCCCCTCCAGGAGTTCTGTCTCTTCGCCGTCGTGGGCCTGGTGTCTGACTTCTTCCTCCAGATGCTGTTCTTCACCACCGTCCTGTCCATTGACATCCGCC